ATTATTAACACTTTTGTAAGTTTGAGAGTAGGCTAATGCTTCACAAATCTTTATCCCAGTCCCCAAATAATCCAACATTGAGGCTAATTTAAGAAAGGGGGTGGGCACAATCTATTTTCTGTTGCAAAGCAGAAAATATCATTTTGTACAAATCGAAATATTATAAATTAGGGCTGCCACRATTAGTCCACTAGTCACAATTATGTCGACTATTAAAATCGTTGACAGTTAATTTTAATAGATGATGCATCGTTTTCTTTCTAAATTTGTTTTTCTCTCTGAACTGTTGCGGCGCCTTCCACTGCCGTGTCTGCCTTTCTGTCCTTGACACACCCACTAATCAAAATAAATAATCTGTGATTAGTCGACTATAAAAAATAATCATTTGTGGCTGCCCTAGTTACCACTACTGCGCATGTGTGTTCAGGACGGAAAGGCGGACGCGGCAGTGGAAGGCGCCGCAGCASTTTGGAAAGAAAAACAAATTTAGAAAGAAAACAATGCATCAACTATTAAATTAACTGTTGACGAYTGAGCTATACAACTGAATGAGCTATTACTTTTCTTTCAGGAATAAAGGTAATTGAAATGCATCATGTTTTCTCACAGCACTGCAGCTCTAGGAGTCAGATTATGAGGCACCTAAAGATGCCCAACTCTAATCATAATATAACCTCTGACATTTATCCTTAAGCTTGAGTTCATTTTAAAAGGAGACACATCATGCTTTCAAATCTTTCTTTTTCAYACTGGGGTCTATATAAAGTAAAAGTGCAATGCTTTGGTCTGAATTCCTCCTTATTGTAACTCCACAAGCCCCTTTCACCCCTTTCTTTGGAGGTGTGTCTCAAATCAACTGTCTTTTTAAATCCAAACKAGGCCACTTCATCTAGGTTCAAAATTCAACTTTTCTGCACTCCTAATGTCTTCAAGTTAGGGTTGGGCAGTATTGCCAAAAAACAATCACGATTAATTGTGGTATTTAGGCGATAACAATTAATTTGACGATTAATCCCCTGGAGTCCCTGGTCACCCTTTAGTCACATGACCAATTTACTGGGAAAGATTCTTCAGAAAAAAATCTGCTCCAAATTGTGTCGAAATTGCGGACTTCTTCAGGCTACACATCAAATTTAAAATTGTGTTGATAGATAAATTACACAACTTTTTTCGTCATATTTGAAGCAGAGAGGAGCACCGAGCGGACTGACGATTAATCGTATTAATCGTCAAGTGCCAAAATAAAAATCGATTAACGTTTTTCTGACGATTAATTGCACACGATATGATTATGCCCAACCCTACTTCAAGTACACAACAAATGCATTTAACAGCTAAAAAAGGGTGGATTGTTCCATGATATGGTATGTTTGTGTACACAAAAACCATTTAAGAATACAACACAACCCAGTAAGGACAAAATGGCAACCCCTAAATACCAAGGTGAAGGTGAAAAGTGACAAAATCACTCATGAAAGAACTTAAGACTAAAGTCATGACTCTGAATCGAGTTAATATTAAAACAGCTCATTGATTTATTACCTCATCATTAAAAAAAAAAATCTTAACCAGCCTGCTTCAAAATCGTGTTGACCCAGAGGTGCAAAGGAATGTAACACGAGGATGATCACAGACTGGGACGGTTTTAGAGTCCAGCCTGGGAGGTTCACTTCACCCGGCAGTGTGGTAAGATACTGACACGTTAAAACAAGCTTAATCCTGCACACAATGCATGTGTTATATGTGTCTGCACACAGTTAAACAACTAGACAGCGTTACGACTCAACATAAAGGCCAGTAGTTTCAGGAAATGTTTCTGTTGTTGTTTGACCTACAGGCTTTCCACCGTGACGTGTTTGTTAAACACTAAGCGCTTTGTTTATGTTGAGCCCAGAGGGTTAAAATCGTAGCAAACAAACTTTTAACTATTTACCCACAAATGTAAAATAAATAAAAATAAAAATAAAAACACCATTCTTTTTTTATTTTCATGGGTGCGAGCGAGTATACCGTGATTCCCACTCACCTCCGCATCATCCGCTTCCGCTTCTTCTTGATTTCTCCCAGCTAAAAGCCGGTGAGGCGTTCAGGGGCAAACTCTTCCCACGACGGCGGAAATTTCAGAGGTTTTTTTTTTATTTGATGGCAAAATTCATCTGAGAATCAGGAACTTTCCTTTAAGAAGGCTGGGCCCCGGTCAGACAAGAAGATCGAGAGGAATCAGGAAGGAGGGGTCTTCGGCCGCGCTTCACTTCCAGTTTTATTAACCCTTTCACTTCCGGTTTGTTCACAGACAGAGAGCAGAGGGCAGGGGCAAGCATTCTAGGAATTTCACCCCTGCTCTCAAGTTACTTTGCAAAATAATGCAAACTGGGAGCCACAACTAATAGAACCAAATGACTTGCGTGGAGTTTGTCTTTGCTGTAGTTCCACATTTGCTTTAAAATTACCAGGAAAATACACATAAAATGTAATAAAATAAAGTAATGATAATAATTGGCTTACTTGTTTGTAAAGCCTTGACCCCTATAGGCATCATGAGTAGCTACTTCTCCGGAAAGGTACGCTTTATTAGGTTAAAGACTGCCTGTAATCTACACTTGTTCAAATAATTCAATTTAAATGGCATTTTAACAAGCTTTGGCTGCAGAGTACATCAATTGTGGCTGTAACTGGATTCAAACAAATACTTCTTCAAGTACTTGCTTTCATATCAGAACTTGATTAGATTATTTTCAAAGTTCAAGGCCAAAAAGGTGTATTTATGTTTATTGCAGTTTATTTATTTTTTATTTTTTTACACTGCAGGGAAGGGTTTGTCACTGGAAAAATTGAGTTTTCTGTGAAAATACAGTGCGATTCCTGTCTGGAATGACTGACATTTCAAAACACATTTGTTAACTTAATTGTTTGTTACACTAAGTGAAGGTTAAAATGATCAAAACAGTAGTTAAACGCTAAATTTAGAAGAAAAAATGATTGTTAAAAAGCTCTGATTAGCAAAACTGTAACTAAAAGCGAAAATACCAAAATCATAAGTGCAAGCTAAATGTTGCAGATCAGTTTAAAGTATGAGAAGACCAAAATAAAGAAGCTGCTAAAGCCGAATTCAGAGAACAATGTTTTGCAGGTAAAAGAAGGGATCCCATTGTATTTCTTTTGAGATGTTTTTTTGTAAATCAAGTTGAAATAGATAAATATAAAAATGTTGCATGATAAATGCATTATGTGTAAGCCACAATTCATTATTGCCAATGTGCTCTTTAGCCACAACAACAGTGAAAAGTTGTTGTTCTAGTTTTACAGCTTTTTCTGGAACCCTTTCAGTTTCTGTGTTTACAGATGCGGTTGTGTTTGGTAATTTTCCATAGATTCTTTTACCATTCCAGCAAAAAAAAAAAAAAGGAGAAAAAAAAGAAAGAAAGAAAAAAGAAAAGAAAAGAAAAATAGGCATTAGTGACTCATGTGGAATTACTTTACTTTCACATTACAGTGTTTTTTTATGATGACATAATTGAAATTCCAAAGAGGATGGGCTCTATCTCAGGTAAATGAGTGAGCATAAAAGCCTGGACACTAAATAAGCCTTCTTACTTATTGTCAGCAGTTTGACTGAAAAGAACTATGACTAATTTTCATTGTTGAATATCAAAGCTTTTGCTGATCCCACATTTTCTCAAGGAGTGATGACAGTTTGTTGAGTCAGTTTTAAAACGACAGCAACCTTTCACTTTTCACTGCTTTCCTTTCTCACCATAGCGGAACAGTCCCGCAAAAATCTTTTGCAGCCCAGTCCAAAATCTACCATCAAAAATCTCAGACAGTTTATGAGTCATTGTTTTTCATGTTGGATGTTTAACAAGCAACAAATTGAATTAATTTACGTCAGTGGCCCAGGTGACTTCTCTGAACTGTCCACACTTGTTTTATTATCCTGTATCATTAACTTTAACTTCCTCTTTGTAAATTTACCGACAGGTCCAGTCATGTGACATRGACAAWTATGTATATTAGTCATCTGTTTGTGAGGTTGTACAGAAAGTTTGTAATTTATTCTGTACTTTCAAACAGTTCCATAATGTGTGTGCTACCCTTTGCTTTTCTTCTTCATCATCCCAGTATTATTGTCTTCATCTTCCTTTTCAGTAAAGCAGCCTTTGTGTTTTGGTCTCTGGGGAAGCTTTCTTCCGCTTTAGCTTTTGTCTGGTTTCTTTGTTACAGTACATGCACAMACAGAGAGAAGGGGGGAACCTGTGTGAACAAGCGCTGATTGCATCTCCTTGTCTGGATTGATCCTACATCACTGCCAGTCTGTAATCAAATCTGCTGGCAGCCACAAAGGAAAACATTACACTGAGAAATAAGCCTGATTTACACCCTGAATAAACTTTATGTGAGGCGGTTTAACTTATGAATACGTGCAATTGCTTCACTCATTAGAAAACCCAAGGATAGTCAAATAAAAATAACCCTTATGATTTATTCTCATCTTAAAATCTCATTAGCATCCATTGTTGTGCAGCTGCTGATTTCTCTATTAAGTATTTACCCGGTGGAACTTCCTCCTTCCTCTATTATATTACTAATATCACAAAGAATCATTACCCAGCCAGGTGGTTTGGCAGACAGGTTGTAGGTGAGGTTAAGCACCCACTTTGCTGTGTCATCTTTATGGCATAAAGTCCAGGTCACTGTGAGTAAGACAAATAAGTTATACCATGATAAATTGTTTGTCTAAGTTTAAGGCTGAAAACTGTGGTAGAGATGGAATATTTTGGTTTATTCCGACTACTGCGTATTTCATGAAGTACATTTTTAAATGAGTGTTGTTTTTTCCTCATTTTAGCTATTTTTAGTCACATGTTTCACTGTTTTTCTTTACAGTGGGGATTTAATGTTTTTATAATTGTTGAAAGCAAACATTGTTCTTGTTTTCTTTTTTTCATGGTTTGTGGTTGTCAATTTTCTTTTTGTATTTTGTTGCTATATAAGTAACAAGAATTCAGTTGATTCTGGTGTTAAATAACTATCTGACTTACTGATGCATCCCAATATTTTTTCTGGTTTGGCATATAGGAACTATTTACAAATCATCTATAATTCTGTACCTGTTTGTCTGTAGAATTAGCTTATATTTCTGTGCAGTAGGGAGACCGGGGACAGTCGCAACATGTCATTTTTCTCCAAACAGAAACAAGCTAGAATAACGACACTCACACTGTACATGCTCAGTAAGATGCAGAGAAAAAGTAAGCAGATTCAAAAACTGCTCC